TTGGAGTTCAGGAGATTGTCTTGACCAGGACCACACCCCTAAATGCATTGAAGCAACTGCCATGTGTTTGGTTGATTAGATAATTGCATTAATGAGAAATTGAACAGGTGTTCCTAATAATCCTTTAGGTGAGTGTATATATATATATTGCTGCACCTAATATGAATGTTCACATCTCAACAAACATGATGCACTAATATACCGCCATATAATGAGGATATAAAATATATAATGTATATATACACTACCGTTCAAAAATTTGGGGTCGGTACGATTTTAAATACTTTTAAAAGAATTCTCTTCTGCTAACCGTGGCTGCGCTTATTTGATTAAAAATACAACAAAAATCAGTTATAGTATTAAATATTATTCCAGTGTAAATCAGCTGTTTTCTGTGTGAATATATAGTAAAGTGTAATTTATTCCTGTGATCAAAGCTGGATTTTCAGCATCACCAGTGTCAGTGTCTTCAGTGTCAAATGATCCTTCACAAATCAGTATAATATGAGGATTTGATGCTCAAGAAACATTTATTATTATTATCAATGTTGAAACAGTTGTTGGTCTGTCAGTTGTACAGTTTTTTTTTTTTTTTGGATTCTTTGATGAATAGGAAGTTCAAAAGACTTTTGTAACATTATAAATGTCTTTACTGTCACTTTCGATCAAATTAATTATTCCTTGATAAATAAAAGTATTGATTTCTTTCCTCCAAAAAATTAAAATAAAATTCTCACTGACCCCAAACTTTTGAACGGTAGTGTATATCAATTTTTTTTTTATAGATTTAAATATTCTTTAACCATGTGGCACCTCTGATTAAAAAGGTCAGTTTTCAATTGTAATGATGCAGTCATTTTTTCCATCATATAAATCTGTTTTAGTCTCTGTTTCCATTGGTGATTTCACAGACTTCCAATTAGCAGTAATGTTTTTTTTTTTGGCAATTAGTAATAATACACGTAAAATATATCTTTGGTCAGCATTGAAAACATCAACTGATATAACACCCAGTAAGAAAAACCTTTTGCGTTATTTTTTGCCTCATCTGGGCTAGGCTTGCTTGCTTTTTAATTACAAGAAAAGTTTTGTTTTTGGCAAATGCAAAGTGGGAAAGCCTCAGGTTGAAGGAAGATTGACATGTACAGTCGAGGGCGCAGCTTAAACTCACCTTTCAGCTGCTGTTATTCTGATGTACTGAAGAATATGAAGAAACACTTGGACTGCATCTGAAATCACACACTTCCCGACCATACTGTAGGCGAAAAACAGTAGAAGCATGTCCGAATTCACACACTGATGAACATGATTTTGTGGTGAAGTAAATACTACAAAAAAACAAACAATGTCATTTACATGAAGAAGTTAGTTCAGGCAAGAACTAAAAAAACTATTTTAGTACTCGATTCAAGCGTGTAGAAATGAAAGCGTAAATATCAACGTTGTAAAATTTCTCAACTTTTCTGATCCTGGTGATGCTTCCCATCATGCACTGGGCCTTGAGTAATTAATGAGGTTGATTTTTCGCTGGTTTCCAGCTGTATTTACACTTTTATCATGTCTTTTGTTGTTAGGATTAGTAAATTGCCATTTTGTGACATTTGGAGTTCATTTTCTATCCAAACACAAAACCGATCCATCAAATGTTATTGTGTATTGTCTAAGTATTGAGGTCTCTGCGTTCACATGATCACACGTAACTTCTGATGTGTGTATTAATTACTCACAGTAAGAGTAAGTCCCCGGAATGAACTACTAATTCGTGTGATACGGTGGACGCTTTACTATCCCATGAGGCCACAGGAGAGGATTTGTGAATGGCAGTGTAGTGACAGTGGTAGATCACATGATAATGACATCATTGCAGAGTTCATCCGGATTATATTCATACCACACACATTCATTCAGGAAAGAAATTGAGCTTTATATTGATTCACTCCGATTTTCTATGAAGCAAAAAGCAATTAAAACATTGAAAACTTGTAATTGCTTTAATATCTTCATATAAATTAGCAATAGCCCCCTAGTGTGAAAGTCTTTGTTATATCTATGTTGTATGTCAATGATGTATACACAAGTGTTTGTACAAATTTTGTTGATAATAAAAAAAAAAAAATTCATACCACACACATTCATACTAGAACATACTTTTTTAGGGGTTGTGAAGTATTACTTATTCAATATAAGTATCTACTGGAGAGTATGTGATTTCGGGCGCAGAAGCAATACACATATTTTAAAAAAAGACTCAAATGTGATGTTTAACTTAAATTATAATATTTACTGCAGGTTTGTGTAATATTATCAGTTTGCATTTCACTGTTTTTATTCATTTTGAGGAATACTGAATGTGTTTTTGTGCAAGTGAGATGTATCTAGACCTACAATACCCATCATGTTCACACACACACACACACACACACACACTACACAACGCCTCTGCATTTACGCTCTGTTCCCTCAACACACGGGCAGGAGAACTGTCAGTCAATACACAGGGAAGCAAAGTAACGTGTGTTACTTATTTGAAAAAGTAACTCAGATATTTTGTTGTAAATTTAAAAGTAGTGTGTTACTTTTCTATTTACTTAAAGTAATTGTATTACGTAGCTTGTGTAATGCATTTCCCCAACACTGTTAATAGTGGTGGAATATACAAAAACTAGAGGCAAAAAGAAAGATGCATTAATATTTTTTGGTTAAAAAAATATTTAACCAAATATTAAATATTAATATTGCTTAAAACACAACAGAGATGGTTAGAACAGTGTTAAAAGACTAGAGGAAGCAGTCAACAGAAAAGATCAAATGTTTTTTTTAAAGTAACCTTGACTGATTTTTATTATCGATACAATTAATTTATGAATAATTTTAGCAAATGTTTTATGATGGTTCTTACTTTTTCTTTCACAGTGGCCTTTTTAAAAGCATTTAAATGTTCAAAAGTGAGACTTCAGTTGCACAATCTGAAATGTTTCTTCTTCATTTTGTCATAATTTGTTTTCATTTGTTCAAAATCATCAAATGTTCTGCTTCTTTGCAGTTTTAAAAGGTAAATTGTACTCTCAGACTTTTTGGGCATTTTTTTTAAGGTAAGTGGCACAAAATATATTATTTTTTTGAAGGATTTTTCAGAAAGTCTCTTCTGCTCACCAATGCTGCATTTATTTGAGCAAAAATACAGTAATATTGTGAAATATTATTTTCGTACTATACTGTAAAATACCTGTTTTCTATTTAAATATATTTTTAAAATGTATATTTATTCCTGATGGCAAAACCGTGGACTTTTTTTCTCTCAGAATTGCACGTTTATTTCATCATTCGGACTGTATATCTCGCAGTTGCACTGAGGAAACTCAAAGGAATCCTCAATTCTGAGGAAGAAAAGTCATAATTGTGAGAGAAAAGTTGCAAATACCAAGTTTCCGTACAAAGCTGAATTTTCCTCCAGTCTTCAGTATCACGTGAATGTACGGTCGAAGGTTTTTTCAATACTCAGGGGCACAAGCATGGAAGAAGTTGCCTCAGATATAAATGTCAAATATGGTTGGTTTTAGTGTGAAAGTTAAAAGTTGGCTATTAGATAAGTTGTTTTAGTGATTCATTTGTATTAATTGGATGTATATTTTGGAAATGTGTGTTCTTATAGTAGTGTTGTAAGTATAATGGTATGCAGTGCCAATGAGTGAAGTTGTGCTTTACATCAAGAACCACAATGGAAATAAGTTTTGTTTAAACTTTATTGTGTTATCCTTGACAAATGAGTGCATTTTGCACTATTATTTTGTCTAATAAATCAAATCAAATCAAAATGATCCTTCAGAAATCATTCTAATATCCTGATTTGCTGCTCAAGATCAATATTTATTATTATTATTATCAATGTTGAAAACAGTTGTGGCACTTCATATTTTTGTGGAAACCATGATACGTTGTTTTCAGGATTCTTTGAGAAAAGAACAGGATTTCTTTTAAATTGATTCTTTTGCAACATTATACATATTGTACTGTATTTTTGATCAGTTGAATGCATAATTTGCTTAAATATACGTGGAACACTGCTCAGTCAATCAAAGTTTAGGACTGAAGTATAAAATAAATTAAACCTTTTGATCCTAAAGTTCATATTTTTTTTCCTTCTGTCTTTTCCTTTTATTTAACTTTTTTAACCATGTGAAATTATGAATATGGAAAAACAAGAGGAAACCAACAAAGTATTAATAACTGATTATGTTGTAGTCAATGTATACTTTTTCCTGTGAGCTTTATGTTTTTTTGCATAGTAAAATAAAACCGCTGTAGTTTACCCTTTTTTTTTTTTTGGCCAAATTACTTTGACAGATAACCAAGTTTAGTGTTTTGTGCTTCCTTCATATTTAAAATAAATAAATAAATAAATAAAATAAAAAACTATTTTGATGGTTCAATTGACCTTGTGAGGTCATTAAAAACAAATATTCCCCCTAGACATCACTTTTGGCCACTTCTATATATATATATATGCTATCAATCCATATTTTCGACAGGCTCGTGTTATTTCCTAGCGGCCTTAGTCAGCTAAAAAAGAGAGCATGACCGTGATAAAATCTGTTCTAGAAGCCCCGTTGTAATGATGATGAGTTCCTAGTAAAACAGCAATCAAATGGAGCGTCCCTCAGGGGCCACAGGACCCTCCTCCCGCGGGCTCTCATTGGACCCGCGCTGGATCGCTTCTGATCGGGCGTGTGTGTTTGACCGGAACGCCTGTGGCTTTCAGAGCAACTGTGGAGCTGAAGTGAGGAAGTCCTCCTGTAAACCGTCAATATGAGCGCGTAAAACTCACTCCGGGGACAGTTTATTTCCTCTTTAAGAACTCGAATCAGTTTTTGCACTAGTGCCTCAGGATACGAAGTGATTTTTTTTTTTTTTTTTTGGGACACATTTTCTCAGGATACACGCGTTTTCCGGACGCATCCCGCGCGCGCGCCGCTGGAGAGCCTGATGTCATCTTCAAACACATCTTTATATCAGCATGAGTTAGATTCATCACTTCACCCACTCGAGACAGACTTTTAACGCGTTTTATTTGTACAAAAGGGAGTCGTTAACTGGAAGTGTCCTCCACCTCGTGTCCGCCGGGACTCATGCAGGACGCATGGAGGATCCAGAGTAAGGGTGCTCGAAGGATGCCGTCCTGTCCCGGATCCAGGACATCTGACATCCTTCACTTCTGAGAGCGATGGCTTCTGAGGTTGTGTGTGGTCTGATCTTCAGAGTGCTGTTGCCGGTGTGTCTGGCGGCAGGTGAGTGTGTGTGTGTGTGTCTCCATCAACAGCTGAGTTCACTGTTCAGTGCGGAGTTACGCTGCAGGTGCGGGGATGTAACGTGCGAGATTATCAGTTAAAGGAAGTTAATAGAGGTTTGCATGTGCAGAAAGAAACACTGCACATCAGTAGTGTTAGTATATTTGCTATTCCTTAATGGTTCCATTTATAAACTCATAAAATCACATACTAATATACTCAATGTAAAAATGATATGATCAATAAGTCATGGCAACATATGTTTTTAGATTACTTTTACTCGGTAAACTAAACTAGCAATAGCAATTTCAACTTTTTTAATAGGTTACTCGATTTTTAAGTCAGTTTAATATAATTTAAGTTGAAATGTCTTGTAAAAACAGTTTGATTACTTACTTTGGCAGCAACTGAACTTAAGTTGAAAAGTTGGCCTTTTTTAGTTCTTTCCACTTTTGGTAGAAATAATTTTTGTAAAATGTTGCGGTACCACTCTGTTGATCTTAATCACCAAGTAAATGTTAAATTAATTAATTAATATATATATATATTTATTTATTTGAGCCCATGCTAGTACAAAAAAAGTGTCTAAGAAAAGCACATTGAGAGACTGGGGCTAGTTGTCACGCTTTTATATAGTGAATACTTCTCAGGGTTTATTTTTTTTCTGTGAATGAACATAAAATACTTTTTTAACAACATACTGTATCTGCATTTAAAATCTATTGTTGGCTATTTAAGGGGTTTTCTGTAAACAGTAATACAGTTATAAATCACAAAACAATTAATGAAAGGGGTTTAATCATTGTTAATGGCTCATAAATTGTAATTGAGTTGATAAAATTGCAGTTTTTGAGGATGTAAATCTCAATTTGTCTTTATTTATGGAAGTGTTTGAACCCAACATACAAAGCTACTGTTAGTGAAAACAGTTTGGACTCAAAACGTAGTTAGTTATTGAAATATAGACCCTATGACAACTTATGTGCAATTCCATGTTCCTAATGCATTATTTTATTTCAGTAGATAAAGATTAGGTAGATTATTAACATAACATAAAATAATATGATATAAGATTTTGGCTCTGAGTAGAGAAATGCCAAATAAAACATTTTACAACTGTTACAATAATGAACTAATTCTCTGGTTGCTCCATAAAGTCTTTTAATAACATGCGTCCATTTTGTTTTAATAGAGCAATGCGATTTTTGTCAGACAGCTTTATGCCTGAACTCTCTCTTAATGTCATCTAATGTGAAACATACCAGGCTGAACATTTATTAATCCATCTAATGAATCACTATTAGACTTGTTCTATATGTTCCTGTGATTTTACTCAGTGTGTGTGTGTTATTGTTCTGTGCTGTTTCTGTTGTCATAGATTATTGACAGAGTAATACACTGAAACCCTCAGACACCATTGACTTTTAAATTAAACATATGGAATGTTTCTTTGTTTTATTAATTATTTTTAGTGATCATTATTTAGACATTTTCACATTTCCCCCACTCATTTTATTATTAATTTTTTGACGCCTGCTCTGAAATGTCCCACATATCAAATCATTCCTGTCTGTATGTTCTTGACAGAGGAGACTCGTGCATAGATTGTTATTGAAAATGCAATTTTTAATAAACATTTACTTTTTAACAGGGAACTAAATGCTAATATATATATATATATATATATATATATACTTAATATCTTAAATAATTTTGCTTCTCAAGTAAATGTATCTTATAGTAAATTAATAAAAAAATTGTAAATGGAATTTTATTTGTACTGGAAAACAAGACAAAAATACTGAGCAAGAGAATTTTTTTTTTTTTTTTTTTTTTTTACACACTCTAAAAAATGCAGGGTTGTTTTAACCCAAATTTGGGTCAAATATGAACAAACCCAACTGTTGGGTTAAAAATCTAATTAAAAAAATGTAACCCAACGACTGGGTTTGTCCATATTTGACCGAAATTTGGGTTAAAACAACCCTGCATTTTTTAGAGTGCAGTGAAATAATCGTAATTTCATGAAGGGACAGTGTGTGTTGTGCTAGTTTTTGAAAACATGTTATTCAAATTATTAAAAACATCTTAATCATGAAGGTTTTATGCCTTTTGCTGATGTGTTTTCTGCTGTTGGATTCACTGTTGGTACTTACGGTCGCTTTTACCATCATGATATTAATCTAGAAGCTTTACAGTGTGTTTAAGGGTCTTCATCAGATCTGTGGTTGCCCACAATTAATCCACATTCACATTTCCTCTTATTTATGTATAATTAGCCCTCAGAAATTCACACACACACACACACACACACACACACACATGCACACGCGGACACACACTCTTTCTCTCAGTCGGATTCTTCCTATAGGTATAGATAAGATCCACTCTATAAGATGGTAATGTATCTCTTGACAGCCTAAGTATTTCGTTCTTTTTTCTTCCAAACGCGATTGCCAAGCCGTGGAGCATCTCCATTAATCGGTGGAAAGTCGTTTTAACTGCATGAATTAATAATGTGGCATCAGAGCGGAGAAGAATCGGCTGCCCATTATCGTAAACACCTTTAATATTTGATGATTTTATTTTTTCGCTTGAAGTAGTACTAAGCAAAGGTCATCCGCTGGATACATAAGAGAGGACGGACAGGAACAATAAATGCTCGTGTTCAGACGTCAGCATAACATCTCTCAGATCAAGAGATCTTTCAGTCACTTTTTTATTCTTTTTTTCCCCTTTTTTTTAAATAGAGGTCACGATTCTGAATAGACAACTAAACAAAGCTGTATATTTAAAAAGTACATGTAATTAATTTGAATAGTTTTTTAAAAACTCTTGATTGAATTATTCACTCTCAGACAAAAAGGTACAAAAGCTGTCACTGGGATGGGGTACCCTTCAAAAAACTTATATGTATCATTTAGGTATCATTTATGTACACTTTTGGTACCAATATTTATACCTTTAAGTTACTTAAATGCACTCTTTAGGTAGAAAGGTGGACCTTTTGAAAGGGAACCGCCTCAGTGACAGATTTTGTACCTTTTTTTTCTGAGAGTATTTAATGACTCACTCATAAGGACTTCACTTGTTTCATTACTGGATGAATCAGTGTTTTTGAATGAATATTGAATGAATGATTCAATGACTCACTCATAAAGACTTCACTTGTTTCATTATAAATCTTCGTTTTTGAATGTATATTGAATGAATGATTCAATGACTTGCTCATAAGGACTTCTTGTTGTTTTATTACTGGATAAATCTGCATTTTTTAATCAATTTTGAATGAATGATTCAACTACTCGCTCATAAAGATTTCACTTGTTTCATTACTGGATGAATCAGTGTTTTTGAATGAATATTGAATGAATGATTCAACTACTCGCTCATAAAGACTTCACTTGTTTCATTACTGGATGAATCAGTGTTTTTGAATGAATATTGAATGAATGATTCAATGACTCACTCATAAAGACTTCACTTGTTTCATTACTGGATGAATCAGTGTTTTTGAATGAATATTGAATGAATGATTCAATGACTCACTTATAAACACTTCACTTGTTTCATTACTGGATAAATCAGTGTTTTTGAATGAATATTGAATGAATGATTCAACTACTCGCTCATAAAGACTTCACTTGTTTCATTACTGGATGAATCAGTGTTTTTGAATGAATATTGAATAAATGATTCAATGACTCACTCATAAAGACTTCACTTGTTTCATTACTGGATGAATCAGTGTTTTTGAATGAATATTGAATGAATGATTCAATGACTCACTTATAAACACTTCACTTGTTTCATTACTGGATGAATCTGTGTTTTTGAATGAATATTGAATGAATGATTCAACTACTCGCTCATAAAGACTTCACTTGTTTCATTACTGGATGAATCATTGTTTTTGAATGAATATTGAATGAATGATTCAATGACTCACTCATAAAGACTTCACTTGTTTGATTACTAGATTAATCTGCGTTTTTGAATGAATTTTGAATGACTGATTCAATGACTCACTCAAAGACTTCACTTGTTTCATTACTGGATGAATCTGTGTTTTTGAATGAATATTGAATGAATGATTCAATGACTCACTCATAAAGACTTCACTTGTTTGATTACTAGATTAATCTGCGTTTTTGAATGAATTTTGAATGACTGATTCAATGACTCACTCAAAGACTTCACTTGTTTCATTACTGGATGAATCAGTGTTTTTGAATGAATATTGAATGAATGATTCAACTACTCGCTCATAAAAGACATCACTTGTTTCATTATAAATCTTCGTTTTCGAATGTATATTGAATGAATGATTCAATGACTTGCTCATAAGGACTTCTTGTTGTTTTATTACTGGATAAATCTGCATTTTTTAATCAATTTTGGAATGAATGATTCAACTACTCGCTCATAAAGATTTCACTTGTTTCATTACTGGATGAATCAGTGTTTTTGAATTAATATTGAATGAATGATTCAATGACTCACTGTTACGTTCCTCCAGATGGTAAATCCAGGGGGAGGAGGAGCAACAATATTTGAAAATAAACCAGGGCAAAAGAGGACAGGAAGTCAGATTAAGGTGCAAACTAAAAAGTGTATTTATTACAATATTTAGCAAAGAAAAACCAATACAAAACTACTCACTCAGAAGAAGACAGCGAGCAAACAAAGTAAAGCAACAATTGACACAGACTACATAACTGAGGAAACAAGGTTCAACACTAAATGAACCACTCAACAGTCCCCTCTTCACTGAGGAGGTTAAAGAGGAAACCAGACACTATTCTGGACTCACAAAATAACTAAGTCAAGGTTCCACACACTGGTTGACTGGGCTGTCTCTAGTCTGCTGGGCTGGCCGGTTGGCGGTGGACTGCTCACGGGTGTTCTCTGTCTGCAGTGTGAGAATCAAGCCTTCTTATCCTCCAGTCACTGAGTGTTAATTAGGCACACCTGCTGCCACTCACTCAATCAGTTCATCA